AAAAAAAAAAAAAAAAAAAGAAAAGAAAAGAAAAAAGAAACTGTAAAGATTAGGGTTTGTCTTCTCTCTCTCTCCTTGGGTAATTTTCCTAAGAAATAGTTTTTATGAATAGAAGTATCTAAATTACTTGTAAAGGCACATAGTATTAAATATATTCTTAATGGTCCACAGAAAAACTAAACAAAATTTGTATACTGAAAAGGGAAAGAAAATCTAATTATGTTTCCTTTCTTATCTAAGGGAATTCTAAAATTCTAGAACTTTAAAATTCTAAAGACTTAGAAATCATGTCCAAACTGCAACACCTGAAAACTGCCTTCAGCTCCCCTTGAAGCAATAAGCTAGCTGGCAGTGTATATGTACATCATAACCCTATAGTGTACAGTAATCATCACAACAGTGAAAGATTTTATGTATATATGAAATAATTCATGATTATTTGATTCAAAAAAATGGAATCTGTGGAAAGTGGTTCCCTAGTTAGCAGCTAAATATACTTTGGCGTATTTACAGCTTTATTTTATTTTGATAAGGCTGACACTAATGAAAGAACAAAAAGGCATTTTAGATATCACTATTTATTTCACTTGATCAATACATAGAAGTATAACATTTACCAAAAATCATTTTACCATAACTATAAACTGAAGTTACAGTTTACTAGAAACACAATAGCACCCTAAAACATGTATTGTAAATTGTGATGGAAGAAAAGCTGAAAGCTTCACTGAGGTAACCAAACCAGTGACAATCACTCTCATACTTTTCTCCTCCTTACCTCTTCTGTTCAGTCGATTTTTCCTCCATATTTGTCTCCAGCAGTTCTTCCTTTTGAGACTGAACCTCTTCTGTAAACTGCTGTTAAAATTAATAGCACCCAAAAAGAAAACAAGTAAAACAAATAGGTATTACTGTCTTGAGTATTTTGATTTCATATTAGCCGCTTAACCAGAGTAACAACAGTCTACAAGTAAGTGAGAAATCAAACAGTAAAATGTACTCCCAGTCCTGCTCTGACCATATCTTTATACTGTGTGAATTGCCTCCAGCCTGTCACACCGGGCTATTGAGCATGCTAAGTTAAGTTACAAAAACAAGATTGTGTCAGTAGAGTAACACATTGTAAATTATATACACCTAAGACTACACGATTATTAATTTTCCTGCAAAAACAACTATAAAACCAGGAAAATGGAATCCTTTTTAAAAGAACTATTGCAAGGCGGGTGGATCACTTGAGGTCAGGAGTTTGAGCTAAGCCTGGCCAACATGGTGAAATTCTGTCTCTACAAAAAATACAAAAAATTAGTCAGGCGTGGTGGTGCGCACCTGTAGTCACAGCTACTTGGAAAGCTGAGGCAGGAGAATTGCTTGAACCTGGGAGACAGAAGCTGGAGTGAGCCAAGATCATGCCACTGCACTCCAGCCTGGGCAATAGAGCAAGACACTGTCTCAAAAATAAAAATAAATAAAAGAATTGTTATAACAGATAGGGCACAGTAGCTCACACCTGTAATCTCAGCACTTTGAAAGGCTGAGGTTAGGAGTTCAAGACCAGCCTAAGCAACATAGCAAGACCCAGTCTAAACAAAAAGTTTAAAAAAAAAAAAAAATTAACTGGGCATAGTGGTATGCACCTGTAGTCAGTCTCAGCTACTTGGGAGGCTGAGGCAAGAGGATCACTTTATTCCAGGAGTTCCAGGCTGCAGTGAGCCATGATCATGCCACTGCACTCTAATTTAGGCAGAAGAGCAAGACCCCCATCTCAAAACAAAACAGAAGTGTTACAATAATTGGAAATGTCTATGTTCCCCTCTGGAAATTAAGTGTATAGAGTTTTGAGAAAAATAATACCAAAAAGTACATATATGCATAAAAGTATACTACAGCTGAATTATACCTTTTAATTTTTTTATTAAGACAGGGTCTCACTCTGCTGCCCAGGCCACAGCATAGTAGCAAAATATAGCTCACTACAGCCTCAAACTCCTGGAGACAAATGATCCTTCCACCTCAGCCTTCCAAGTAGCTGGGACTATTACAGGTGCATGCCACCATGCCTGGCTATTTTAAAATTTTTTGTAGAGATGGAGTCTTGTTCTCTTGACCAGGCCTGTCTAAAACTCCTGGCGTCAAGCAATCCTCCTGCCTTACCCTCCCAAAGTGCTGTGATTACAGGCATCAGTTGCCATGCTTGGTCATACTTCTATACTTTTTAAATAAAGACACATTTGCTACTTCTGATTAAATAAATTTACTAAAGCAGTTTATGGCAAGAAAATTTCATTGCCTGAAATTATTAGATATGTTATTACACTGCACTACAATTTCAGGGAAAGAAAAATGCCATACAGCATGGCTATATTCTACAATCCATAGTGCATTTTTAAGAGCTAGCCTTGCTTTGATACATTTAATAACAATCAATAAAAACATGTATAATTTAAACACTACACAAAATGAAAGATGAATAATTGTAACCACTATTTATTGACTTACTTCTTCTAACTGCTGTGGTAAAGTCATCATGCAAATGGCAAGATTGGGACTTCTGAAACCTCCAACAGATTCTTTGATGTCTTCTAGCAATAAGTGAAGATGAAGAGAAAAATGATCATTTAAAAAATAAGCTATTGACTTGTAGACAGCTCAGGGAATATTTCCAGAAACAATATAATGATAGAAATGTTTTCTATTCTTTTTATAAAGACAGTCTTTTAAAACACCTGGAGTCTATTCCACCATCATCAGGTAAATCCCAGATGAGCCTTGAGAGGCCTTATTATTTAGTATGTTTAATTCCATGTAATGCTCTGAGAGCTTCTGTTTTAAGGAAGACTGCTGGGGAGAGGTTTATAGTGTTGGTTTATAGAAATTAAGAGACCATAATTATTATATAAGCAGCACAAGAGGCCCAACAACTGTAAAAGAGCACCAGCATAAAAATACCTTAGATCTTCTTGGTTTTATTAAAACCAAAATTAGAGTTAATATGTTCAATATTTCATAAATATTTAATTCCCTTAATTTTTTATTTTAGGCTATTGTAAACATACTAACAGGTATAAGACTAAATAAGTTATCTCAGATAATATTTACCAATTTCAAATTAATAAAGTCAAAAAGTAGATTATGTAAATGAACTGACCTTTATAGTCTGACATGTGTATATCCATTTCCTCTTGTATAAATGCTTCTACTTTTAAAAGATTCTCATCAATATCTATAAATTCTTTTTTAGTATCATGAATGATGGAAATAATATCATCATTGATTTCTTTTATATCAGAATTTTTTGCTTCAGTTGGCATTCTACTGAAAAACAATGGAGCAACTAAAATCATTACTCATTCTTGGAGATAAAGAGCTGCTTTACATTTAATTCAGTTTTGTTTGTTTGTTTTTTTAAGACGAAGTCTCGCTCTGTCACCCACGCTGGAGTTCAATGGCATGAACTTGGCATAATTCACAGTCTTAAAAACAAAGAACAAACTTTGGTTTCTTAATTACAAAATCTTTTTCAAAAATATTTGATACATAATAGAAGCTCAGTTAAAGATCGTTTAATAAGTAACTAAACATCCTGGTTTTTATTTACTCAAACGACTCCAATAATTTCAACTTATCTAAAATTATCATTCTCACAAAGGACTCTTCATGCTATAATGGCTTTTGCCTTGGTATTCAAAGCTTTATCACTCCTAGTATTGCTTCATATATAAAAATGGATTAAAGGATTAGTTCAACTTCTGATATGGGAAATAAGTTGATAAAGGAATTTCTCAGTATGAATTAATTGTTCTCTCGGAAGATATGAGCTAGATGAACAGGGAATAAATACAATTTGCAGTGAACTGTTAAAGCACCTCAGAAAGCTCACTTCCAGTTCCTCTCCTTCAAAAAATGCTCATTCCTTCAACTTTCAAGGGTTTGATTCTTCCCTTTAAGCCCAAATGCCATCAAACCAGGTGCCTTCTATTGAAAAAAGACTAAAATCAGCAACTTACTTCAAGATATTTTGACAAGATTTATTCTGACCATTTCTGTCCTCAGTTCCATCTGGAGTTGCTACTGCAACTGAACCACCAGCAACTGTTTTGCTCTCCCTCTCAATATTGGGTCCAATCTGATACCCAGGGTCACGATTTTCTACCATCTAAAGCAAACCATTTACAGTATTTAGTATTTATTGAACCCTTTATTTTTCACCATATTTTAAATTTTTTCATTCTTTCTACAGAAGTTCTGAATAATTCTCTTATTCATTTATCAAATATTTACTGTCTTTCTACAACTCAATATTTGTTGCTGAAGCAATGATCAAGTCTTTATTCTAACTGGAAAAAGCAAATCTGACAACCTAAATAGTATTCAAAAGAAATCAGCCTTACAAATTTGTAAGGCATATCGTCATTGTTTTCAGGCCACAAAACAGTCGCAAAAAAATTGTAATATTCTCATTTCATTCCCTTTGCTATATTATAAAGACATTCAGTAGTTATTTCAAAATGACATAGTAGACAAAAATACACGCAGCTAAAAGCACAAGGTAGGTATCCCTTTTGCCTCACTTAAAATTTCCATATACATTACCTAGAAATACAAATTTCAAGGATGACAAATATCACAGTATCATATAAACTGTATGCCTTATGACAACAGAAACCAGTCTCAAGGGAAAAAAAAAGAGGACTGGTGTGGTGGCTCATGCCTGTAACCCCACAATTTGAGAGGCCAAGGCAGGAAGATCACTTGAGCCAAGGAGTTTGAGACCAGCTTGGGTAACAAAGGGACACCCTGTCTCTATAAAAAAATTTTTAAATTAGCCAGGCATAGTGGCATGAGCCTGCTGTCCCAGCTACTTGGGAGATTCTGGTAGAAGGAACACTTGAGCCCAGGAGGTTGAGGTTACAGGCAGCTGTGATCCCAAGACTGTACTCCAGCCTGCGTGATAAAGCAAGACTCTTGTCTCAAAAAATAAACGAATAAAAAATAAAACAAAATAAATACACACACACTCATTCACATCCTTAAACTTCGAATAAACTATTTCAGAATAAAGGCATTTACCATTGACTAGGGAAGAAAGAATGCTTAATTAAACACTAACTCCTCTACTGACTCCTATCTGCCTTTCTGGGTTTGTTCTCCAACCTCTTCTGGCCTGAGAGTATAAGAAAAATGATTCCCTAATGGACTTGATGAGACATCAGTAATTAAAACTAAAGAGTTACATAGTCCTTCATCTGAACCAAAACCTGAAACTTAAAGGAGAAATAACATAAGTGTAGTATCACTTAAAATTATCTCCTTCTCTTTTTTCTTTTTTATAAATACACACAAAACTTCAAAACCTCACAGCCTCTTTGAAAGCACTTTCACCTTAACTATTGTTAAGAATTAAAGGAACCACTAGAAGAAAAAACATAGGTGATATAGATTACAATCAACATTGTCATTAATTTTCTATTAATTAATGATTCTTTAAAAGATGGGAAAATGTAAACAGAGTTTGAATTTAAAATGAGAATTCACATTTGTATGTAATAAAAAATTGATATGCTTACCTTAATAATGGCATTTTTTGCCTTATATGTAGCAAAATAGGGTTGTTCCAAAAGCCATAATGATGTAAGAATGGCAGCTGTAGAGGTCTTTACATGAATTACTGGACTGTACTCAGAGGATGACTCAGTTATACCAGAATCACAGAGTAGTCGTCTATTAGACCACCTTATCATCCATTCCAGCAGTCTTCCTATACTGCCAAATGTGTTATTTAGTGCTAACGGAAGATCTTCTTGAGGATTAATATCATTGCACTGAACAGCTTTGAAAATACGTTTTCTAGTTTTAATGTGCTTGGGAGTCCAAAAAATGTGGTTTGATGATCTCTGGATAAGACATTTCTCTCTAGTGTCAGCTTGTATTCTGTAAATTGACTTCTGTTTTAAACCAAATAATCCTCTCATTCCTTCATTCTTATTGACTTCATTCAAAGGATATTCTAAAAAAGATTTGATCCCTTGATTAACCAGTACTGATGATGAAAGTGCCTGGTTTTCTAAATGTGTGCCATATTCATCATTTAGAGAGGATGATTTTTCTGCTTCAGAGGACTCAGGATCAACAACAAAGCAAGAACCAGCTCTAAACACATTCTGGCTTTTAGTTTTGCCCTGACGTCGTTTCAATGTTGCACGTACATCAAAAAGTACAGAATTAAGTTCATGTTCTCTAAGCTTTTCAGAAAAACTGGTTAGAAATGGAATGCCAGCATCCCTCAAATTAAGTAGGTCTCTTTCAAGAATGTAACTCAAGAAGAGATCAAGGAATTTAATATATTCATCATCATCACGTTCAAATTCCCAAACACCTATTACAGGAAGTGTATTTCGTAATAACTTTTCATGATCTTCTTTCCTTGCAGGATTTTCTTTCTGATTACACATTTTCTTTTTATCAGGGGGCTTACCAATCGATGCTAATTCCATGCAATTTGGGACATTTCTACAGCAAAAAAATTAGACAAAATTAAAGATTATTTAATCATTAAAACTGATCTTAGAATTGACATGAAAAATTCTCTCTATGATTAAGTCATGTTATCTTTTGTGTGCCTCAAAATACAAAACAAAAATCTTTTGTGTTTTTCAAATAAGGGGGTGGGACTAAATGATTTCTAAATATTTTCAAGAGTGGAACATTTCTGTAAGATCAAAAAAAAAAAAAAAAAAAAACACATTAATATCAAAAGGGAAAATTTGCATTAGAAGAGATT